CGGCACCACGAACGCAAGTCCCTGCGCCATGCTGCACCGGTTTAGCGTGCAGGGACTCGCCGAGCGGGGCAGCTCATGGGCCGGTTAAACGACCCCTGTGGGCCACTTGCGGCCCATGGGCCTTCGGTTGCCTACCCCTGCTCTACACTGTTGCAGCTCCAGTTGAAGTACCCAGTGCCACTGTTGAGGATATTTTGTAGAATCAGTTCCACCTTATGCAGTCAACTGATTTGGAAAAGATATTGGTAGCAATGTATCTGACCACATGCCCCCTTGCTCTTGTCCCACCTGGCTTATTAAATCTAGCTGGGGGGACGCTATCTGGTTGGGTGGATGGATGTCCTCTGCATTTTATACCATTGACCATGGTATCCTCCTGGACTTACACTTTGGAACTCACTGCCCATTGATATCAGGCAGATGATGCCTTTGCTGTATTTGTGTGTTTGTGTGTGTGCCTGCTAAAGACATCCTTATTTAAAGACTACCCAGATGTTTAAAAAGCTTGTATGCGTTTTAATTTATTTTAATCTAGTCTACTGTGGGTGTCCCCCCCTTATAATTTATTTTTTAAATTATTTTTAATAATCATAAATAAATAAGAATAAAAATATGCACCCCACCATCGAGACCATTCCAATGTAACTATCCAACCTCCCAAAATTTCAACACCTCTTGCGATGGTTTGACCCTTTTCTGTTTTAACAGTACAAATTCTACAAACACCTTCCATATCTCCTCAACATCATTTCTCCTGCATATTCCCCATCATACCTTAATGGCACATGTTAGTTTATCGTTAATAGCTATACAGTCATACCTTGGGTTACAGACGCTTCAGGTTGCGCGTTTTCGGGTTACAGACACATCAAAACCCGGATGTACTGGAACGGGTTATTTCTGGGGTTTAGCACTTTGTGCATGCACAGAAGTGCTGAATCGCAACCCGTGCATGCGCAGACACGGCACTGTGGGTTGCAGACGCTGCAGGTTGCGGACGTGCCTCCCGCACGGATCATGTTTGCAACCCGAGCGTCCACTGTATCCCACACCTTCTTACCATTCATACCATTCTTCCATTTTATATTCTTCTTGCCCCTTCCACTTCCTGGCTATAATAATTCGTGCAGCTATCAATAAATGTGAACAGGTCCTTCACAGCCTGCATACCTTCCACCCCATCATAAACTGATAACAATGCTGCCTCTGGACTTTCGGTCAGCTTTAACCCTGTGATTTCTGTTATCTCCTTAAACACCCTTTGCCAAAAAAAGTTGTACATATTTACACCCCCACCATATGTACTGTGGTTTTAACTTTTTTGTATGTTTTAAATTATGGTTGTAAATTATTAAATAATTTTATTGTTTTATCATTTCACCAAGTTTCTACCGTCATGACTAGAATCTTGTTCTTTTTGCAACAAACTCAAATTCTCAGGATGCTGAATTCTGGGACAAACCCAAAATGCCAGCAGAGAACCTGAAGTACTGTGTCCTTGGCCAATGAATGAAGATGCATGGCAAGATTTGCACATGGCCCTCAAAGGGACTTGGGTAGTCAGTGAAGTTGAGGCCCATCAACTGTGCAGAGGGAGGGAGGGAGGGAGAGCTGGCTGTTGACTGCTCTCTTGCCTAGACTTGGCACCCGTCTCTGCTTTGGGCACCAGCCCATCTGAGCCTGCCTGGCAGCATGAAAGCAAATTATCCCATCCGCCCGTCACCTTGGCCTCTTGGCAGCAGCATCCAAAGAGGGCCTGCTTAGAAATTTGATCACCTCTGTGGCGCAAGGACCTCGCTGGGGCTTCTCTGTAGAGTCAGGCCCAGGGAAGTAACATGAGAAGATGGAGCGCCAGCGATGGATAATCACCCTGATTGAGCTTGACATCCAAATTGGCCAGTGCAAGAGAGAGGAAGTCATTTTGGGGGCTGCTCCAGAGGCTGACGCTGCACCAAAAACCTCAAAAACACATTAGGCTGGCAACAACAAAAGAGAAACTGAGACCCACCAGCTGCCCACCTTCCTCCATGGCTGCTTCTTTGTGCAGACAGAGTCTGGCCACTGGTCTGCTCTTGCCTCTTCTGACTTGTCATGGTGCTGCAAGATCTCAGACGGAGGTCTGCCTCTCCACTCCTGCTTCCTGATACAGTGGTACCTCGATTTAAGAACTTAATTCATTCTGGAGGTCCGTTCTTAACCTGAAACTGTTCTTAACCTGAGACACCACTTTAGCTAATGGGGCTTCCCACTGCCGTGCGATTTCTGTTCTCATCCTGAAGCAAAGTTCTTAACCCAAGGTACTATTTCTGGGTTAGTGGAGTCTGTAACCTGAAGCGTATGTAACCCAAGGTACCACTGTACTTTTTAAATTGGAGGCCCTTGATCTCACTCCACCTTTATCTACTGAGCATTTATTTGCCGCCTTTTGGTCTTTGGGACCTCAAAGCAGGTCACAAAACAAGTTTAAAAAATCACGACATTCTCTTGCAAGCAGAAGGACAGTTCCTAGTTCCTCAGGTGCAATTTGGGTTTCTGGAGGTGTTCAAGGGCATTCTACCAATGGCTACAAGGTCATGGGGTAGGAATGTTGTACCCCCTTCTCCCCATTACCTGACTCTACTCTACCTAATCAGAAAGCCCCATTGTGGAACTTTTCCCCCCCTGGATGGGAACCCTGGGGCTCTCAAGATGCTCTTGCACCAAAGCTCTCCTCTCTGACCATTTGACATGTTGGTTAGGACTAATGGGTGTTGGAGGGCTACAGTGTGTGTGTGTGTGTGTGTGTGTGTGTGTGTGTGTGTGTGTCCCTCCCTCCAGCATCCTTTGTGGGAGGTTGTGAAATAAATGTAACAACAACAACAACAATTAAAAGCTCACACCCTCCCCTTGGATGCTGGTGTATTCAGCTTTGGAGGAAAATGAAAGTGGATGGATCTCCCTGCCTCTCTGTATGTTCCTGTTGCTCACGTGACAAAGATGCCTCAACCCTTAGAGCCAGGGTTGGTACCTGCGGCCCTCCAAGTGAGGGAAGGACCCCTAGCTCAGTGGTGGGACATCCATTTTGCATGACATTCAACTCTAGAATTTCCATTTAGGGCTGGGAAAGCCTCTTGCCTGAAATCCTGGAGCTAGCTGCTGCCAGCCAGTGTAGACAATGCCAAGTTGGATAGACAACAGATCTGCATTGATAGAAAGGCAGCCAATGATGCTCCTATTCTGAACTATTACAACTCCACCACCCCTGGTCATTGGCCATGCTGGCTGGAGCTGATGGCAGTTGGAGTCCAACAGCCTTAACTGGACCGAAGCCTCTCCACCACTGCCTTAGATTGGCTTGAGAGATGAGCCTTGCAAGATGCCTTTCACAACTGCCTTCCTGTAAAAGTCCAAAGGGTGTCCTAAATTGGTGGATGCACTTAAAGCAGAGGCTCAAATGCTTGCTCAGAAGAGGGAGACCAAAATGATCCAGCAGTTGAAGCAATTCTCTTTGAGGTTACAATTTTGGGAGCTTTTAGAGGTGACTAAGAGGAGACTTGTTAGAAGTATAAAACATTGTGCATGGTAGGAAGACAGTGGCTCAAGAAGGATCCTGCCCCCCCCCCCAATCATGACACTAGAACTTGTAGACATGCAATGAAGCTGGATGTATCAGGACAGACAAAAGGAAATCCTTTTTCACACAGCACAGAGTTAAAACTATGGAATTCACTCCCACAAGGTGTGGAATGGCTATCAACTTGGATGGGTTTAAAAGATTAAACAAATTAATAGAGCTATCTGTGGTTCCAAGTCATGAAGGCTATGTTCTACCTGGATTGTTGGCCAAAGAACCACAAAGAGTACCGTATTTTTCGCTCCCTAAGACACACTTTTTTCTTCCCAAAAAGTATGGGGAAATGTCTGTGCGTCATATGGAGCGAATGCGTGGTCCCTGGAGCTGAACTGCACCGGGGAGAAAAGCAGATCATGCTTTTTTTTTTTTTTTAAGAGGGAAGTGGGTGTTGAAACAAAGCCGCTAATCGGCAAGCGATCAGGGAGGGAGATAAGGACACTAGCAATAAAGGAGGCTGCCTGGGAGGGAGGAGGTAAAAACAGCTAATTTGCAAGGAGAGGAGACAGGAAGACTAAAGCAATGAGGAGAGACATTAGAAGAAAAGGAGGAGCAAAAAACTGCTCCAGCTAAGGAAAAGACACTAAGGCAAACAAGAGGGAAGGGAGTGTTGAAAGGAAGCAGCTGATCCGCAAGCGATCGGGGAGATAAGGGACGCTAGAGATAAAGGAGGCTGCCTGGGAGGGGAGAGGTAAAAGCCCATGGATCCTCAGGATTTTTGCACTGGGTCACCCCAAAGTCACCATCAGATCACATAGCATGTCCATGGCTACAGCCTGCACCAAAAAAACCACCCACCCACTGTTGTGTGAGGCCGCAATGGCGCAAAAACGTAGTTACAAAGCATGGATCCTCAGAATTTTTGCATTGGGCTACCCCAAACTCACCATCAAATCACATGTCTGTGGCCACAGCATGAACCACAAAAATCATACATCCACTGTTTTTTTCAGAATATTTTTTTTCTTGTTTTCCTCCTGGATTCTTTTGCCCCATCTTTTTATGCCTGCCAAACAGCCGTGTCATGCTTATGATATTTTATTCTCTTGTTAATTATGCTGTTTTAAATGTGCATTTTATATTTGACTTCACTTAGCAATGTTTTCTTTTGAAATGTTTTAAGATTTTTTTAAACTTTATGTTAGATATGTATTCTGTAGTTAACCTTCTTTATGTTTCATCTTTAAGATAATGTTTTAGTTTTCTGTTAATTATGTTGCTTTGACTGTATACTCTATATTTGACTTTCTTCAGATTGGTTTATTGATGTTTGATTGATATTTTAATATTCTGTAAACCACTTTGAGATTTTTCTTAAAAATATAAAGCGGTATAGAAATGAAATTAATAATAATAATAATAATAATAATAATAATAATAATAATAATATGCTGTAGCAACGTCTTAGAAGCAGCATTTATTCTGTGTGTGAGAGAATACATCATTCAAGATAGTGCATGCCATCTCAGTGCTTATAACCACCTACATTATATGCATGATTTAAAGGATTTTAATTTATTCATCTCAGCACTCAACGTAAACAGTGCAGCCTGACAAGGCAATAGCAGCAAATGTTTAAGTGCTGGAGATTCGCCCTTGCCACTGCCAGAGTCGGATGTGTGTTAGGATTCTGCAAGAGGATCGAAACTTGTGCAAAATCCTGCTTCTTGGCTATCTTAGCTGTCATCTAAAACACGTTAGGGGACTTTAGCTTTTCCAGATGGAAGAAGCTTCAAACTATAAGGGCAATCCCAGGTGACACTGAAGGGGTCAGTGGGGTGGCTGAATTTGTTTGGTGTTTGTTGCGGCGGGGGGGGGGACGGGACCACACAACTTCAGTACCTTGTACACCTTCTTGCTGTTCCCCCACCCCAATGAATAATGATACGAAGGAGTAAAATATACCAATGAGATCAGTGTGTATGATTTGGGTGCAGAATCGGGACCTTATAAGTTTGAAAAGGCAGAAAACGCCCAGTTTTGCTGCATTCACAAGCATTTCACATTAGACTATTTTGCTTCAAAAGGTGCACTTCGAAAGTCTGCATAAAGTTTATTCCTGTACAATCATTAGAAAGTTTTGATACATACACCCAGATGAGCTGACGTCGGCAGAAAACCCAGCACAGAAATCCCACCCCATTCTTGCCAGGATTCAGGGTTGTGTCCCCAAGGTGCCAGACACAGGAGTCACCCGGCTGGCTCAGCTGCGGAGGTCACATAATTCATCCCATGTTTAGATGCTTGTCAAAGCTACCGTTTTCTAGCCTACTAGCTGCATCAGGATCCTGTATCTTCAGGGTGGAGAAATACAGCAGGAGTGTGTTTGGTGTGTCTGTGAGAGAGCGTGAGAACTCACACATATATCTGGAGTCTTGATGCAGAATTAGCCACAGGAGTAGATGCTTCAGGTTTTACTACTGAGAACAACCTTGGGTTCTTTACAGGTCTGGAGGTGGTGTTGCAGTCCCCCACCATAGTCACCACCATCACCACCACCACCAACACCACCAGGAGAGGATTTGCTCCCACGTGCAAATGGAAGATGCAGGAGAAGGTTCTGAAAAGCCCAGGATGTCACACTCTATGGGGAGGCAATGAAGTCCCATCCAATACAGTCCGCCTTTCATCCTGGTGGACCTTTGTTAGTGCCAGAAAGGGACGTTGCCTCTGACAGCAAATCATCTCTTTGACTTCCAAGCCGCTTTGGAGTATGGGGCAATCCGTTTTTTGTCTGGTGGCTTAAAGTAGGAATATGGCGCTGCCGGTGGGAACTCTGCATCCGGGTTCTCCGCCATCATCTTCAGCTTGGCCTCAATGGCTTTGATCTTCGTGCTGACACTGTGGAGGAAGCGAAGAGTAAATCTGGTTGAAGCGTCAGCCTGTCTGTCCTGGGCCTTGATTTAAAATCAGAATCTAATGTGGCCGGGGGCTTAGAGCTGGAGAATCATGTAACTGTCATCATCATCATTATTATTGATTCGTTCGTATCCTGCCTTTTCCCTCAAATTGGGACTCAAGGCAGCTTACCCAAATTAAAAACAACACAGATAAAATGTATAAAAGATAATAGTTAAAAAGGAATCAAGCTCTAGTAGAATTAAAACAATTAAAAAACCCTATTAATATACAGAGAACAAAAAGAAAACAGCACTGTTAAAGCTCTTTCCTTTAAAAAGTGTCAGATCCCAAAGGCCTGCCAGTATAAAACTGTGAAGACCTGCTGGCTGAAAGCCAAGGAGGAGCCAGTCTAGCTTTAGGCAAGGAGATCCAAGCTGCCTGGGGGCTGACACCACTGAGAAGGCCTTCTTCCATGTCCCCCCCCCCCCCCCAAGCATGCCAGTGAGGGTGGTGGGGAGAAGGGCCTCTCTTGAAAATCTCAGAGCATGGACAGGCTTTATGGGAGGATGCAGTCCTTCAGACAGCCAGATCCTAAGCCCTAGCGGGCTTTCATAACCAGCACAAGTACTACGCACCTCTAGGAGCTTCAGAGTTGTTTTTCTTCAACAACAGTCTTTGCAAAACCACCTGATAAGCGGCTTCTGAATCCAAGTGAGCTCTCAAAAACCAATTGGTGTTCTGGTGCCAGAGAAGGGTGTGGTATTTACAAAGGCAAAAGGCTATATTGCAGCTAGAGCAGAACACTGTTGCCCACCTGCTGACAGGTACGGGGTGGTGAGAATGCATTGTACCCCTTGGGAAACATCCCTGCTAATTTGTGGTTTCCAGGCCCAGTTCTGGAACTCCAGGTGCACCCTATCCACTCACCAAGCCTTTTCCCCAGGGGTGACCCGGCCATGTGGTCTGGGGATCTACCATGTATTCTGAATTTGTCTTATGAATGGAACTGCACTGCTGATTTGATGCTGTTGACCGCCATGGCATTCCTGCCCCCCGCCCCTGCTTAAAGTTAGTGCTCCTGAAATTTTAAAGGAAGAAGAAATAATCTGAGGTGCTGTTTTGGGCGTTACAAACCCTCATTCAGGAGGCGGGGCACCCTGCAACGCTTTCTGTAAATATGTTTTTGCTAGACTGCAACTCCCATCACTCTTCACCACGCTGGCTGGAACTGATGGGAGTTGAGTCCAAAATGCATGAAGGGTCACAGATCCGCCCACCCCCACCCCCCGCCTCTCCCACACACTACAGTGGTACCTCGGGTTAAGTACTTAATTCGTTCTGGAGGTCTGTTCTTAACCTGAAACTGTTCTTAACCTGAAGCACCACTTTAGCTAATGCCGCCGCGCCACCACTGCACGATTTCTGTTCTCATCCTGAAGCAAAGTTCTTAACCCGAGGTACTATTTCTGGGTTAGCGGAGTCTGTAACCTAAAGCGTCTGTAACCTGAAGCATATGTAACCTGAGGTATCACTGTAATGTTAAACTATTGCAATGCACCTTGTGGAAGACTTTCCTGAGTTTTCTGCTGAAAGGCAGCCAAAAAAATATTGTAGAAATGAACCAAAACTCACACCCAGAACTTGGAAGCCCAGGGCCCAACGTAAAGCAGCCATCTGGATGCCCGCCTCATCTAGGACTCTGGGGCTGGGCTAAGGTTCGAATCTCTCCTTGGCTACAAAGCTCATTGCCTCCCAGCCTAACCTACTCCGCAGGGTTGCGGTGAAGATGCGGAGAGAGATCCAGGATCCCAAGGCACTGGATCCAAAGAGCTACCTCAGGTTCACTGGAATGGGATTTCTGATTCCACACAAACACAAACAGACTGAGTACCCTCCCCACACCCAATCTGGTATCAGATCACCAACTGGTTTAGAAAACCCAGTTAATTGCACACACACACACCCCAATGCACACAGCATGTTGCGGACATGGTAAAAGTACAATTCTCACCTCAGATTAGACTGGGTTGGCTCTGAGCTGGATGAGGGTTCCAGGCTGATGGGAAGTATCTTTTCATTCTTGTTTTGATCATATCTCTGGGCAATTAGGGGTGTTGGTGGAAAGAGAAACAGCAGAAATTATTTGACAAGAAGGGAAACAGGCCCAACCCACAAACAAGTAATACAGTGGACGCTCGGGTTGCGATTCGGCGCTTCTGCACACGCACAAAGTGTGATTTAGCACTTCTGCGCATGCGCGACCGCTGAAATCCGGAAGTAACCTGTTCTGGTACTTACGGGATTCGGTGGTCTGCAACCTGAAAAAACGCAACCTGAAGCATCTGTAACCTGAAGTATGTCTGTACAGGGAAATGGGAGGGGCTGCCTGCTCTTCTCTAAATTGGGAAGACGGTCAGGTTCTGCTTACCTTGACCTGGGCATGAGCCCACCGCACCACCAGCTTTTTGGAGAGGGCTAGCTTGCCATTGAGGGACTGGATCGCCTGCTCAGCTTCCTGCAGGAGAAAAACACCGTCAAGGAATGAACCCCTTTCCCAGGGGCTTCAGCTGAATATTTCTGGGCAGTTACTACTCTGAGCAGCTAATGGGTAGTGCCAGGCTTTTGAGGGGGGTTTTCGTTTCAAAAGGGGCTGCAGCATAGAATTTAAGGGGATGACAGGTGCCCAGGTTTCTAAGTGGCCTGCAGGATGCACCAGACTTTTAATCTTCCCAGCCGCTCTTTGTAGAACCATCAAATTGTAAAGCTGGAATCATGGACCTGTAGAGCTGGAAAGGAATCTGAGGATCATCTAGTTCAACACCCTGCAATGCCGGAATATGCAGCTGCCCCATACAGGGATCAAACCTGCAACCTAGGCATTATCAGCAACACACTCGAACCAATGGTCATCTGGTCCAACCCCCTGCAATGCTCAGAAAGCTCCAATAAACACTTGAGTGCAGTTTGCAGAACCAGAACAGAAAGCAGTCAAGGAGTGTTTTTAAAACGACCAATGCACCATTCCAAAACACACAGCAAATCTCTCTCGCCTCCAATTTTCCCAAGGCAACCCTGCGGACAGAAAGGCCAGCAAAAAAGATACAGCTCCGAGGGCAGGAAAAATTGCTATACAATGAAACTCCCTTGGGGAGAGAATGTCTATGGAAACACACCCCTCCCCTGCAAAAAAGGTTTGTTGGGAGTTCAGCAAAACATCTGGAGGACACCAGGTTGGGGAAGGATGGCCTATTACAGTCACCTGGCACAGCCAAGCCTACATCCCCACCAGAATCCTTAAAGCTGCGGAACGCTCTAAACTGAGTGATCCTCAGCTTTGGGGATGGGGAGGCAGAACAGTGGCAGAGCCCTAGATTCAATCCACCTGCCTGCGTCCCTGGAAAGCCACCTTGCCTCAACCAGGTGCTCTGCAGATGTGGTTGGGACCCCAACTTCCACCAGCCCCAGCCATGGATGATAATGTTGTAGCTGGGGAAGCCTGGAATAGACACTGGTGAACTAGATGAGGCAATGGCCTGACTCAGGACAAACCAACCTACCTGCTTGGTTTCAAAGTTCACAAAGCAGTAGCCTCTGGGCTGCCCTTCCAACATGCCAGACTTGTGGAAAAGGAAATCAAATTGCTTCACCTTGCCAAACTTCTGAAGGAGCTTGAGAAGGTGGTACCTGGAAGGAGGAGGAGGGAGAGAAGCCAAGATGATGACCTCTGTTGGTTAAGAGGGTTTGAGTGAAACGGAAGGAGGACAAACCACTAGGCCAACTCAATTCAAGCAGATCCCAGCTTGTTGCTTGGGAATGGGAAAAAATGAAGTTGTGCCCAGTATGTGTGTGGGGGGGGGGAGGATTTGGAGGGGAGAAAAGTTATTGACACTTTCAATAAAGGAAATTTTAGGACCTCAAAAGTCAAAAGATTTATGGTATGGTGGTGCCCAGCTTATCAGCAAAAAATTGTTTCAAGATGACCAAGGGGATTTAATTAGTGAGTTCTATGTCCTGCTTGACTGCAGAACCTCAAAGCCGTTCAGAAAAAGAATGAAACAGTAAGATTATTAGTAAAAACAATCAAAGCATTAAAAAAAATTAAAACTAGCAATAAATGAAAAATGCATTGTCATTATAAATATATAAGTATCTAAACAGCAATGTTTTAGCAGATACCGAAAAGAGTGAAGGTGCCTGCTTGTTATCAACAGGCAGGGAGTTCCAGAGCGTAGGTGCCTCCACACCAAAAGATCAATTTCTCACTAGTCTTATGTGCCAACTGTAAGTGGCAGTTCTTACAGACAGAAGCAGTCGAGTGGGCATATACAGGGTAAGGCGATGTTGCAGGTAAACTGTTCCCAAGTTATTAAGGGCTTTGTATACTGATGAGTGAGAGCTGAGGACCGTTCTGAGGGTGGGGCAGTTTACATGGTCCAAGGCTGCTGTGGCCTTCAGCTGCCAAACTCAGTGCAGTGACCTTGTAGCCACACGGGTGCCAGCCAGTTCTCTGAAGCCCAGTACAAGGAAGGACATTCCAGGAACTGAAGCGATCTCCCAGGCCAGGTTGCTACAGATGTGTTCCTGGAACAGGAAGGAAACAAGGGCCAACTCAGTTTGCCCTGGCCCAAGAAGACCCTAATGAAGTGGTGGAAGGAAAACAACAGCCGGGTCTTATGGTGTGGGGAGGTAGTCCTCACACTTTCCTTGAGGTGGTGTGGCTGGAGGGGATATGATGGGCACAGAAAGCAAAATCTATCCAAAAAGCCCTTTTAACAAAGCCAGAAAAGTACTGGTGACTTTTTCTTCTTAGTTTAAAGCTTTGGAGAGCTGTTGTTCCAAACCTTTTTCGGGCCGCTACCCTATTGGTTCCATAATCTTGTCCCCATAAAAATCATTGTTCAGAACATTGTCCTCACCTGAAAACACAAACACCTTTTGCCACTTGGCCGAGAGAAGCACACACCTAGCTCTCTCCTTTAGCAAGTCCTGTTGGGGTGTCTCATTTAAATGCATGTTTGTGCGGCTGTGCGTCAACCTTGATTTCATCAGGATTCACCGCGCATCTTTCCCTGCGGTGTCTCCACTGAGCACAGCTGGAAAGCGATGAAGCCTCAGGGACATTGAGCTTAAATGATATGCCGGATTTTGCTGGGTGGGTGAGAAATGCTGAACTGAAAACAATTTAGAATACCACTGCAGTGTTCATACATGGGCAAAGTTAGCAATGCCCCTCTCCACTCTGATGTTCATTTCACAAAGGGATTTCTCAAGTTGGCAGAGACAGGGTTGTCCACATGAGAGAGGAGGAGATGGTCAGGAAACCATCTTCCAGTGGAAGCCCTGGAACCCTGGCCTAGCCAAGCAAGATGAGCCAGAAACGGAAAGAATATGAGGAGTTGTAGGTCAATGATAGGGTCCTTCCAAAGGTTGCTGGACTCCTACTCCCATCAGCCCCAACCAGCATCCTACACAAACCTACCTAGGAGCTAGCCCCACTGAACTCAGAAGCTTAATTCTGAGTAGACTTGCATAGGATTAGGCTGTTAAGTACATAAACCACTGGTACTCTTGAAAGCAGCCAGGGAACCTACAAATGTGGCATATTCACAGACAGGCCATCAAATAAGCCAAAGGATGTTCTCGGCCTGAACCCTACGAATTAATACCAGCCTGTTGTTCTTTAACCTGTTGCCTTCAGTTTTTCTGTTGTTATTGGTATCGCATAGGTGTTGGTGTTACTATAATTTTTAACATGTGATGTTTAAGTGAAAAGTTATACACACACACACACACACACACACACACACACACACACAATTTATTGATTTATGGAGAAACTGGATGCTGGCTCTGCTTAGGTCTGAGCTGAGCTGCATGTTGAGCTTTCCTTCTGCACATGGGCCTTTGCACTCTGAGGAGTTTGCTGTCCAACAGGAACTGCCTGCTACAGCACTGTAGTTTTCTTTGCTCCTTTTAGAGAAAATATAAAAACCACCTGTTATGTTTGTGTGTGTGGCTATATGCTGTGTAGTTTACCCAAATGTCGCCCTCTAGCTCATTATTCTGAAACCACATACACACACAAACTGGAAGCTGATTACAAAGGCACTAACTAGCACTCAGTTCCCTTGAGTCACAAGAAGACAGTTTCCTGGATTCATCACCAGCCTGGAATTCTGCATTTCTCCCACATCTTCCAGTTCTTTACTTCCAGTATTTTTGAATGCAAGGAATTATTAAAGAGGCCCAGAAAGAGTTTGTGAGAAACTGGAGAGCTGCATTGTGAAGAAGGAACAAGAAGCCGGGCAGTTGGAAATTCCTGGAGCATCTTGATGGGCTACCTGGGACGAGGCAGGGGAAGGGGAAGGTCACAGCTCTGCTGCGGGCTGCAGCCAGGTCCCCATTGCTACTTCCTGTCATCCAAGGCAAGTGTGGGACAGCCCGTCCAAGCCCCGCTTCCTTTTCCGCCAGTCTTCCTCCTGGCACCCTAAGAGCTATTCAAACACTGAGTCAAGGCTTCCTCTGAACAATGCTGTCCCAAGGATACAGGGAATGGTCCTAGCCACATGCTAAAGCCATTAAGGCTGGGAATCCTGCCCCACTGGGAACTAGCAAGCTGTTGTTAAAAGATGCTGTTTGCTGAGCAAAGCTTATCAGGATGGAACTCAATGCAGCAGGCAGAGCTGTGGCATAGCCTTTTCGAAGCCCCCCCCCCCCCAAATAAATTGAGGCAGAGGCTAAAACGCAATGCTCTATCTAAAAGACAGTAACATGCACTCCTATGTAAGAAGCGCATTTTGCAAGGGGCAAACTGTGGCATCAATGCAACCTTGGTAACAACCACAACCCTCCCAAATGGAAGTCAGTGCAGTTTAAGCAAGGTAGGCTGGGACTTTAGGTTCTTTGCAGTAGATAAGAAAAGGACTGTTGACTCACAGGAGTTTAACAAGAGCATAAACAAAAATGCCTCCACCACTTTTCTGAAACAGAAAAAAAAACTTAGGGGGAAAACCTGGACTGGATTTGTGTGTGGCAGGGCTATGAGCTGAGCTCTAGTATTGAAAACAAATCCCTAGTCCTGAGCATGTGTGGTCATAGACAGAAATATTGCCCCCATTTCCAAGTGCCTGTGTCCTTGTCTCCCCATGCTCCCAGCCTTCCTTTTTCACCAAGCTCTGGTCAGTGGTCTTCAACATGTGTGTGTGTTGGAAAAGGGGGTGGCAGGCCTTACTTAGGAACTGAAACAAATATTTAGAATACTGGACAGAAGCCGGCTAGGAACAGCAACTAACATCCCACTCTAGACTGTGGTTTTGGTGCCGTTTCAGCCAAAAATGCAATGGAGTCTAGCTGTCCAAAGTTCCTCCTCCTCTCTCCCCTCACCCTCTGCTATTCCCCACTTGTAAAATGGAAATAGGGACGCGGGTGGTGCTGTGGTCTAAACTACTGAGCCTAGGGCTTGCCAATCGGAAGGTCGGTGGTTCAAATCCCCACAACGGGGTGAGCTCCCGTTGTCTGGTCCCTGCTCCTGCCAACCTAGCAGTTCGGAAGCACGTCAAAGTGCAAGTAGATAAATAGGTACTGCTCCGGTGGGAAGGTAAACGGCATTTCTGTGTGCTGCTCTGGTTTCGCCAGAAGCAGCTTAGTCATGCTGGCCATATGACCTGGAAAAACTGTCTGCGGACAAACATCAGCTCCCTTGGCCAGTAAAGCGAGATGAGCGCCACAACCCCCGAGTCGTTCACGACTGGACTTAACTGTCAGGGGTCCTTTACCTTTATCTTTAAAATGGAAATACAGCCGTACCTTCATTTTGGAACAGCTTAGTTCCCAAACATTTTGGGTCCTGAACGCTGCAAACCCGGAAGTGACTGTTCCAGTTTGCAAACTATTTTTGGAAGCCGAACGTCCAAGGGGGGCTTCCGCGGCTTCCAATTGGCTGCGCTTTGGTTCTGGAAGTCAAACGGACTTCTGGAACGGATACTGTTCAACTTCCAAGGTACATCCGTACAGTATGCTGTAAATAGGAGCCAAATTATAGAAGCATATGACTCCCTTGTTATAACAACTCCACTGGCTACCAGTCTGTTTCTGGACACAGTTCAAAGTTCTGGTTATGACCTGTAAAGGCCCAGGCTATCTGAAAGACCATATTCCTACACACAAACAAAGCCGGGCTCAGATATCTTGTGGGGAGGCCATTCTTTCCATCTCAGCACCCTCACAGGCATTCTTGGTGGGGATGCAGGAGACAGTCTTCTCAGTGGCAGCAGCTCCCAGACTTTGGAGCTCCCTCTCTAGAGAAGCTAGACTGGCTCTCTCCTTGACCTTCCACTGGCAGATGACGACGGTTTTATCCTGATAGACTTTTGGGGACTTACTGTTTTTTACAGAAAGTGCTGTTTTTACTATCTGCATTTCAATATATATGCCTTTATATTGTTTTAATTCTATTAGAGTTAAATTGTTTTTAACTATTTTTTTTAATAGCTTCTTGTATTTTATATGTGTTGTTTTTAATCAGAGTTGGATGTCTGGGACAAAAGTGGGGTGTAAATAAATATAATAATAATTATTCCAAAGGAATTAAACAAGCAATGTTAAACCATTACATTCGGCTAAGCAGGACAACTGTGCCCTATGAAAGTTTGACCCAGGCTCTTTGACTAAATTGGATTTCAAAAACATTATTCAGAGTCATACAAACATCAAAGGCTACAAGGCTGAGCTTATGTGAATTGCTGAAGGGCCAACCCGTTCTAAAATAACCCATTGCCATCCATCCACCTTCTGTGGAACTTTGATCAAGCGGAATGATTTAATTGTTCCCTGCCCTGACAACAACCTTGTGAGCTAGCTTGCTGGTATCCACATTTTATGGGTTGGAAACAGATGAAGCACCAGCCCACAGTTGGACAACTGCACTCAGAATACAGAAGGGATTCCTAGAATTATATTGCTATGGGGGGCAGGTTGGAGGGAGGGATATTTGACTGCTCCTCCCATGTTGGAAAATTCAACCTTAAGTTACAGATGTGTGAGATTGTTAAATATCACATGTCTGTTTACATTCTAGCACAGTTTGTTGGGAACTTCCGTTGTGTATAGCTTTTGCTTTTGACTCTCTCTCTGAGGAGGCGGAAAAAGAGATGACATGTTTCTTTTGTCCTGATTTATGCTTAATAAATCCGCAGCTTGTTAGTATGTTTCCACAAGCTTCACACCTCTTCTGTTTGTGCAGTATGCTCTGCTGATATACTGTGCTAAGGCATTGAAGTCTGAGTTGCTGATTTGCATCGCACCAGAGGTCGGGGGATCATCATGGCTGGAAGGGCATGATCCAGCTGGGGGTTAGCCAACTGGCCTCTCGACCCCCGAAGGATGCTGACAGTAAACACTACCCACCTGGCCGCATAAAGCCTTTTTAAAAGGGGGAAGATAGGCTCTAAATCAATGTTTCTCAGCCTTGGTCCCCAGCTGTTGTTGGACTACAGTTCCCATCATCCCTAGCTAGCAGGACCAGTGGTCAGGGATGATAGGAGTTGCAGTCCAACAACATCTGGGGACCCAAGGTTGAGAAAAGCTGCTCTTAGTGTTTCCTCTTAGGCGCTTGCTTTCAACATGTGAGCAGGTTTTGCTGCTGAAGGAGCACTGGCATGTCTGGAGATAGGAAACACACACACAGGCAACTTTGGAAAAGGAAATTATGAATTCATGGAGAAGTTTATCAGCGGCTGGTAATCATAAAGGCTAAATGGAACCTCTCTGTTCAGAGGCAGTCTACATCTAAATACTAATGGCCGGATGACAATAGCAGACCCTGTGGTGGATTTTGTTTGGCTGCAAAGAGCAGGTATTAGATGGACCTTTGTTCTAATCCAGGAGCCAGGTTCTTCTTATGTTCTAGTGGGAGGGCATTTTCTGGATGTCCACAAGGGTCAACAAGCACCTGACAAAGGCAAGGTTTGAAGCTAAGCACCCCACCTTTTCTAAGTCCAAGCTCCCTTAACAATTCACTCAACGCCACTAACTCTGTAGCCCCAGATCTACAGAAGCTTCAAAATGTCAGATTTTACAAAGTCAGGCAAATGAACTTCATTTCCTAGATGCTGGGGTCAGAATTTTCAGGGAAAGAAAACTGTCTTGGATGTTCCCTGTCTTGTAAGGTATATGCAAAAAAAAAACCCCCAACAAAACCTAGAATGCCTCTGTTTGGCCAGGTAGAGAATCTGAAATCCCTAAGGGGCAGGTCAACCAGGCCTAACATGTACTTTTCTCCTTGCACACCTCCTGGGCCTTTAATTCCCACCCCCAACTTTCCAAACAGGCCCTTCCCCAAAAGGCCCAGGCAGCCTGTCAATTGAGCAGTGCTCACAATTACTCACCCCCAAGAAGCCACAGAAATATAAACACTGGGCAAAAAATGGTAATTAATGCAAAAACTGAGAAGAGGCCAGCCAGTGCAGCGCTGAATGAGTCGCCTGAAGAGGGCATTACGTTAATGATGGACTCCACTTAGAGGTACGATTATGAGTGCTGCCGGGCTGAAAGGAACGGCACTTGGAACAAAAACCTCAAGGCACTTCCCGAAACACAAGAAGCCGGGCAAAAATTGCTTCCACAGCTGAGAGGCCCACAATATCCGGGCGATAAAACAAGAACAGCTACTTGGAATGCATAAATTGGAGATTGTTTTGTAAAGTGTGTTGCGGGGGTGGGGTGGGGAGAGGAAAGACGGCCACCAGAACCCCTGGCCCGGCACATCTAATATCCCTCTGAGCAATCAAGCTCTCCTCCCTCAGCGTTTAATTGCCCCACTTCAACTTGCTCAAATGTGTTAGCACGCAATTTAAACGCGCTAATCATTTGGAGGCCAAGGGAATGTCAAATGCACACACTTAAAAACGTTCGCCGCCACCAGAAATGGGACTGGGGTGTGCACACAGCTGCGATTATTAGAGAAGCAGCTCGGAGGAAGCCCGAAGGGGCTTGGGCCAATGGAGTTTCTCTCAAGGCACTGTCAGCCACCAGGCCTCGCCACAGGCACAAAGGTTGACCCAACTACACTTGGTAAGGCAGTTACAGCCATTCCTGGATCAAGTTAGCTGGATCTCAGTTGTCCATGCACTGCTAACCTTATGGCTGGATTACTGAGATGTGCTCTATGTGAGGCTACACTTCGGCGTTGGTCTGGACGCTGCAGCTGGTGCAGAGCATGGCGGCTAGGTTGATTGTGGGAGCAAACGACTGCCAGCATATAACACCTTGCACTCAGGATTTGCACTGGCTGCCAATTTACTGCTGGGCCAAGTTGAAGGTTTTGGTACTAGCATGCAAGTCCCTATACAGCTCAGGACCAAGTTACTCAACAGACTGACTTATCGCATATGCACCCAATAGTTCACACCAGTCCATGGAAGAGTCTCTCCTGCAAATTCCAAAGATCTCAGACGCCCGCTCCACAGTAACTTGGAGAAGGGCTTTTTTAGTAGCTCCACTGTGCTGTAGAATAGCACTCCTGCTCAAGATACAACAGGTGCACACTTTCTGGAAACAGCTGGAGACATTTTTGTTTCGACCGGTTTTCCCAGCTGGATGAATGGGTGTTTACCACCAACGTTAGTATTTTAGTCTTGTTGGTTTTGTGTTTTTAAACTGCTTTTAATTATTTTGTGTAACTTGCCTTGAGATGGCAGTTTAGAAGACAACTAATAAATTAATTATGGTGCTGGAGGAGACTCTTGAGAGTCCCATGGACTGCAAGAAGATCAAACCTATCCATTCTGAAGAAAATCAGCCCCAAATGCTCACTGGAAGAACAGATCCTGAAGCTGAGGCTCCAATACTTTGGCCGCCTCATGAGAAGAGATGACTCCCTGGAAAAGACCCTGTTGTTGGGAAAGATGGAGGGCACAAGGAGAAGGGGACGACAGAGGATGAGATGGTGGGACAGTGTTCTCGAAGCTACTAACATGAATTTGACCAAACTGCAGGAGGCAGTGGAAGACAGGAGTGCCTAGCATGGCGTCCATGGGGTCTCGAAGAGTCAGACACAACTAAACAACAAATAAATTAACTGTCATGATGATGATGATGATGATAATCCCCTAGACTCAGCCACTGGGATAACAAAGATGTAGGTAAAATTGGCACAGTGGACAGGAATTAAACAGAAAATTAAATGATAGCAGAAGCTGAGTTCAAATAGCAGCAAAACAGAAATGATGGTTTGTTTTCTTATTTTCTTTGGAGAACCCCCTTCTTTTCCTGCCACTCAAGAGCTAAATCCCAAGCCCCTCCCTTCCTTGCCCCTCACTCACTCTGTAATCTTGGGGTCGAGGTTTCCAATCCACAAGCGATGTCCATCCTGCAGCGCCCCTTCGGACAGGATAGACGCATTCTCCAAGCGCAGGCTCTGCATGGGAGGCACTGCGGTCGCCATCCGCACCTGGGGAGGTGGAGAGACAACGAGGAGAGTGCGGTTGGTGGGGTGAAATTGAAAAAGGAAGATGTTGTACACCCAGCAAGATTATCAGCATCATGAGAAAAATCCTGCTCAGTTTTGATCTCTTGCTGATATTTAGAGCTTCACTTCTGAATCTGCTCCCTATGACAAGATCTAGCCCCGGGAAACATCACTGCAAACCTGGGCCTCCATATGTTTTTGAACTACAATTCCCATCATCCCTGACCACTTGTACGGCTAGCTAGGGGTGATAGGGGTTATAGCCCAAAAACAGCTGGACCCAAGTTTGGGAAACCCTGCTCTAAACCATAGCACCACCACTTCCTAGTAACAGCAATTTGGGGATAAAGATGCTGATGATAGTTATGATGAAACAGCAGACTGTTATTGTACACAGTGCTGGTATGCTGATCTTTAAAGCCTGCATAAAGCCCTCCTGATGTCACTGAACTGCAATTGCCATCATTGCTACTAGAGCTGACAGGATCAGAAGTCAAAAAACATCTGGAGAGCCATAGGTTGCTCATTCCCACTTTAAAGGCACCTGTAGTTTACATCCAGGTAACAAAGGCTATACACTCCTATCCACACTTAACCTGGGAGTAAGATCCATTCTGTTTACCAGGACATTTTTCTAAGTAGACATGTAGAAGATTTCACTGAAAAGGATTATCTATTTGTTTTCCTTTCCTTTGTGTTAGTGTATTATGACTTGCTAGTATTGTTTTCTTTCTTAGGTTTCAGTGACAAAATTTATTTTTAAAAAAATAAAAATTATTGCCTACGCCCACACAAATCTACTCAAATGCCCAGGTTGTCCTTGAGTCCCATCACTGGGTGCCTCTCCCTATAGACGTGCAACAGACACCAACCAACCAGCTAGAGAAGGGTCTTCTTAGTTGTGGGGAGCCATCTGTGAAACACTCCCCCTGGAGCAGCTTGCCTGCTGCTGCGGTCTAATGCTCCGTAACATGATATTTTTTAAAAATAAAAAACTCAAATAAAGAAAGAAATGTCTGTTTAACATCAGGTAAATCCTTTACTTAAGTATATCTGTTACTTGCATTGTTAGATTGGGGAGACCACATTGATTTTATCTGTGCTCTTCTGTTATTCATTATTATTATTTGTTAATTATGCACAGTTCTCCTTTAAGAATTGTTTTGTACGCCACCCTGGAAGTTGTCAGAGACTGAAAACGTGGAGAATGAAAGGCCTTAAATTTACATAGCAGCAGGCAAAACCAGAGCTGGCAACAGCACCTGCCATCCTTGTTGCCAGGGCCTCTAGCTTTAGGTAATTTTAATCTATTTAAGTATTTTAACTTTGGTATGTTTTGAATTGTGGTTGCAAATTTTTCACGATTTTCTTGTTTTCTCTTTTTGTAAACCGCTTTGATGGCTTTTTAAACAATCAAGTGGTATGCAAATTTCATGAAATAAATACATACATACATAGCTTGCCAGGATCTAGCAAGACCCGACATGGATGCCAGCCTTGGGCCTCATATTCCTGCCCTACTCACGTCACAAAGCAGTCTTAGCAGCACCAGGTAGCTAGATGTAGTGACATTTTTAAATTTACACAATGTGAGTGGCCTGCTGTCATTCTGAAGCACTGTGAGAAATTAAAAGTGTAGCAACCAAGGAATAAAGGGCCTTGGTCCAGTATATCTGAAGGAGCGTCTCCACCCCCATCGTTCTATCCGTACACTGAGGTCCAGCGCCGAGGGCCTTCAGGCGGTTCCCTCACTGCGAGAAGCCAAGTTACAGGGAACCAGGCAGAGGGCCTTCTTGGTAGTGGCACCCGCCCTTTGGAACGCCCACCCATCAGAGAACAACAACCAGACTTTTAGAAGACATCTGAAAGCAGCCCTGTTTAGGGAAGCTTTTAATGTTTGATGCATTACTGTATTTTAATATTTTGTTGGAAGCTGCCCAGAGTGGCTGGGGAAGCCCAGCCAGATGGGCGGGGTATAAATAATAAATTATTATTATTATTATTATTATTATTATTATTATGCCAAAGGACACTTGCACCCAAGGCCCCTTCAGACATGGAGCCAGCCCAAGGAAAAGCTTCAAGGGAGCTTACATTTAAAAACAGACAACCTCAGGAAACACCAGGGTAAAGAAATGTGAAAAGCGGCAGGGCTGGTCCAAGCTATTTTGGCACCTGCACTCTCCTTGTCAGAGGGACTGGAACTCTACACCAGGAACAGGGGGTAGGGAGTGAAGATTATCATTGGAAATGAAGATCTACATGTGATGTGTGTCCTGGAGGTCAGATCTGCTGCTCCTGTAGATCCTGCCACTCAAGGCAGTTGCCTCACCTTTCCTAATGGGAGAGCTGGCCCTAACTGGGGGAGGGCAAAGGTGATTACTATGGATCACAGCGGTTGCATGGACTGTAGAGTTGGAAGGGACCCCTAAGGGTCATCCAGTCGAACCCCCTGCAATGCAGGAATCTCAACTAGATCATATGTGACTGATGGCCATCCAACTTCTGCTTAAAAACCTCCAAGGAAGATTTTAATCTTAATTACAGCTGGACTTTGACCATCTGAGGAAATGAAAAGCAAGAGAGAGAGAGAGATAGGCCGAACTCTTTAAAAGGGGAGGCTGGTCTCAAAGCGAAGAGTCAAGCATTCTCTCCCTCCCTTGAAGGGCTGCTGCCAGTCAGTGCCAGCAACACTGAGAAGCGGCCTGGCCAGGTGACTAGAAGGCCGCTTCCCAGCCTTGTCTTTCAGCTGAGAGAGGCTGCAAGGGCGGGGGGGGGCACGGGCGCTCCGGGGTGTCTCCTTTTTATACACTTTATCTTCGGTTCTTTTGTGTTTGTCTCTGCCTGTGTCTCCGCGAGGCGCCCGCCGCCCAGCTCCCTCGCTGTCGGCCTAGCCTACCTCGCTGGGTTGTTGTGCGGGTGACGAGGGAGGCCCCGCGCGCCGCCTGAGGTCTTCGGCGGAAGGGCCCGTTAAAAAAAGCGACAGGGTCACCCTCTGGGCATGTGCAGAGTGCTGACACGCCCTGACACGACGGGCGCGGCCCCCTCGGCGTCACACTCACCGGCATCCCCTCAGCGCGACTCTCTTCCTCTCCGCTCCCCGCGCGCTCCGGCTGCGGCGTCACCGGTCCGCGCCGAGAAACGTCACGACGCTCCGTCGACGTCATCGGCGCGCGCGAGAGTGGGCGGGGGAGGGCCCGACGTCATCGACCCGCGACGGCGTTGCCGCTCACTTCCATCCACACCTCCGACGAGGAGACTCGCGGGTTGGCGGAGCGGCGGCGGAGGAGCGAAGCGTAGGCTTGGGAAAGGGAGGCGGTCCGAAGGGAATGCGCCGAAAGCGGGGCCTGCGGCGGCGGGCGGGGCCTGCGGGAAGGGGCAGGGCTTGGCTGACATCGTATACTGACTAAGGAAGGGGGCGGGGCTTCTGTTTGCGGTATGTGGGGGCGGGGCTTATTGGAAGGGCGGGGCTGATAGGCTCTGGGGCGGGGCTGGTGGGTGGGTCTTGTTTGGGGAGGCGGGGCTTAGGAGGGCAGGGGTTGGGGTCCTCCTATGGAGGTGGGACCTTGGGATTGGGACCCTTGACTGACTCATAGCTCCTGGCCATAGCTGTCAACTTTCAGATTTGAAAATAAGGGATCAGCAGCCTCAAAAATAAGTGATCAGCAGCCTCACCTGTCCCAGGGACAGTCTACGGGATAGCTAACAATCCGGGATAGCAGCGGGAAACGGCGCTGGAATAAGGGAATTTCCCACAAAAAAAGGGAAGGTTGACAGCTATGCTCCTGGCTATGTCAGGGTCATAAAAGCCCATCACTGCCACGATCACCACAGAAGGGGTGACTCCAAAGGACCTCATCCCTTTTGGAGCCCCAAGGGCTCCTATTATTCCCTCCTATTATTATTATTATGTTATTATTTATTAAATTAGCATACTGCCCATCTCACAGTATCTCACAGTATTAAGACACAAAATACAAAATAAAACCAGAAAGTACGTGATAAAAACAAGTACAAGAACAAACCAACAATCCCCTCTCAAACAGAGAGACACATTTAAAAGGATATGGAATGTTAATCAGTCCAAGGCCTGGTTGCAGCGAAACACCTTCGCCTGGCGCCAAAAGATGTATAATGAAGGTGCCAGGCGAGTCTCCCTGAGGAGAGCATTCCACAAATGGGGAGCGACTGCAGAGAAGGCCTGTTCCCGTGTTTCCCCCCTCTGGACCTCTCATGGAGGGAGCACACGAAGAAGGGCCTCAGATTATGATTGCAGGGTCTGGGTCCATTTATATGGAGAGAGGTGGTCCTTGAGATATTGCAGTCCTGAGCTATTTAAGGCTTTATAGACTAAAACCAGCACTTTGAATTGGACCTGGAGACTAATTGGTACCCAGTGCAGTTGGGCCAAGTGTATTATGCTGAAACTATCTTGCCCCAGTGAGCAGGCTATCCCTGCGCAGCTGAGCCATTTTATTCACCTCAACCCCAATTCTGCAGGAGATTGGATAGTGTGTAGTGCCTGTGTGAACTGTTTCATATGAAAATGTCTTCAGGTACCTTCAGAGTGAGAGTCTGTAACTGGCAGGAGGCTGGCCCCTGGTGGGTGTGAGACATGGTAGAGAGCAGGTGTGCTCTAGTGTGACAGTGGCCAGGTGGCTTCTGTGGACTTGAGTAACACTCTTCTCATTTCTGTCAGATGCCATCTGGGATAAGTGGTTGTGGTAGATTTTGTTGGTGGACTTTCGTTGTCCGCATAATATGGGAGGATTTTGGGGAAGGAGGCAGTGGCGTAGCGTGGATTGCCGGCGCCTGTAGCCATGCAGAGTTGGTAGAAGGGAAATAGGCAGAGTACGCACGCACATTTAACTGCTTCACGGTGTCTGCATCACCCAGGAGATTGCAGTCATTTCATTGACCGGAGAGGTCACTTCCTGGTTCACATGGAGAAGCCGTTTTCAGTGGACCCCAGTGACGGAAGCATGCAGCTGTATTGCAGCAGCACCAGATGTTGAAATTTTCTGCCCCTTGCAACTTTGTGCCCGGAGCAACCACCCAGTGGCCTCCCATGGTACGCTACTGGAAGGGGAGAAGGAGAGACATAGCTGTAGGAAGGTGATAGGTCGTAGTGGAAGATGGGATCAAGGTTATTTATGTCTTGTTCCTTGCTTCCACCTCGCCCACAGATTGGTTCCTAGTTGTTCATCTTGGGGCATCTGTACAATGCCAGCAGAAAAAAACACAATTTTAAACACCCAACAACTCTGAAATATCCAGCACAGAAAAGCAACCAGCCCAGCACACTCATTAAACAATGGTGTAACTGAATGAAAACCCGCCTCACCTATTATTTACTTGCCTTTTTAAGAATTAATGGTTCTTTCCAGGCAGCTTTCAACAGGACATCATGGCTGGGCCTCTGAGATGCCTCTGGCAGTTGCCTCCCCTGCTGCGTTACTCCACTTTGGGGACTGCAAAGCCATCCCTGCAGGCCCCTCTGAGGGGCCTTTTGCTGCATGGCTGCCTGGATAACTGGGCCCACCCTCAGATGGTGCAGGCCAGGCACCTCGCTACCAAGAAAGCCAAAGGTGAGAAAGGGAGTCTGTGGACCTGAACTTTCCCCAATTATGCGTTTTCTACTGATCACCCCATCCTGGTGCCTTGAGAGTGGGTGGGAGGTCCCACTACTCCCTACTCAATGGGAGTTGTGGCAGGATTGAAGCAGTTGTGTTATTGATTGATCAGTTATTGTTATTTTTTATTAGGCCTGTCGCTTTTTTGCAGAGAAGTTTCCAAGGGACTTAAAACATATTAAAAAACAGATACGTTGTAATATTGACATGTTCATGGAAAAACACGTGCAATTTGTAAAAAATGTAGAGCTAAGACAGGTAATGTAGAGCTAAGACAGGTAAATAATGTATAGCTAAGACAGGTAAATAATGTTTTTATTCATCTTTTATGGTAAAGAACAGACATTTTGAGAAAACAATTGTTACAACAGTAAACAACAAATAATATCCTGATAAAATTACAGACTTTTGTCATGCTGTGTAATAAAGTTTCATTTGATTACTCCAAGAGATCACACCACATTTTCCCAAGAGTATTGGGTGGATTCCTGCCACAGTCTGAACAATTTATGTATTCAGTAAATATCTTCCATATGTTATAAAAGGAATAGGGATTGTGTTAGCCCTTTGCCACTTGACTTTGTCATTTATCAGCCAATGCTGTTGACCATACTCTGGTATACCAAGTACCGTATTTTTCGCCCCATAGGACGCACTGGCCCATAGGACGCACCTAGTTTTTTTTTTGGGGGGGGGGAATAAAGAAAAAAAAATTATTTCCCCACCAGGTGCGGGGCTGGGGCGGGGGAAGCCCGAGCTTCCCCCGACCCCAGCCCCCAGAACAGGCTGCTATCCACAAGCCGTGGGAGAGCTGCTCAAAGTCGCGCAGCTCTCCCACGGCTAGCGTAGAGCTGCGCGAAGCCCGAAGCTTGGGGCGTGCTGAGCTCAGCGCACCCCAAGCTTCTGGGTGCCGGCAAGCTCTCCGCTAGCCGTGGGAGAGCTGCGTGACTTCGCGTGCCTCTCCCATGGCTAGCGGAGCACTGCGCGAAGCCCGAAGGTTGGGGCATGCTGAGCTCAGCGCGCCCCAATCTTCTGGGTGCCGGCAAGCTCTCCGCTAGCCGTGGGAGAGCTGCGTCTCCCACAGCTAGCGGATAGCTTCCTGAAGCCTGGAGAGCGAGAGGGGTTGGTGCGCACCGACCCCCCCTCGCTCTCCAGGCTTCAGCGCAAGCCTGCATTCGCCCCTTAGGACGCGCACACATTTCCCCTTCATTTTTGGAGGGAGAAAAGTGTGTCCTATAGGGCGAAAAATACGGTATCGATGTTAAGCCCAATGCCAGTTTTCCAACATCTGACTACCTCCATATAGACAGCTGTCAATAGAAAGGCTAAGAGGTCATAATTAGGATGGGATTGTAAGCCCAAGTCGTGCTACTGCAGGATACATTTCAACTGTTTTGCTATATATCAAGCTTATTTCTTTGAAGACAGCACTCCAGAAAGGTTTGATGATATCACTACACCACCACATATGGAAATATGTACCTTTGACTGCACATCCTTGATTGGCTTCCTTAGATATTCAGGATAGCCACATCACTGTCGCCTCACTTGTGCAGGAGTTTTAATGAGGATTCCCTGATTTTTGCAGAAACTGATTTCAACAGCCATCCAGTTTTCACTGGGATTTGAACTTCTAGGTCCATTTCCCACTGCATTTTTGTGTATAATAGATTGCCATATTCTAGTGTTATTAGAGCTTTATAAATTGGAGGAAGCCATGCCCCTAGAGAATGAAGAGAGGTTAACAAAGAATCTTAACAGCTGATCAAAATGGTATCATGACTATTTAAGGTTTGGTATGTCATCTTTCTTACTTTGCAAGCAAGGGCTTGGTCGGTGTTAGGAAGCTGAGCTAGGTGGTCCCTTGGTCTGAGCTCACAAGGCAGTCCTTGTATTTTGTGAACCAGAGGTGGAGAGTGTGTGGCTCTCCAGCTGCCGCTCCCAGCACCCCAGCCAGCACAGCCAGCGGGCACAGATGATGGGAACTGGTGTTCCAGCAGTGCCCAGAGAGACACAGATCCCCACCCTTGCTTTAAGTGCACTCTTTTCTCATGCTGACTGAAGAATTCTGTGCAACCGAGGGTTTGCTACTCATCAGGAATGTTTGCTTGCACAAGCGCCAATGAAACAAATAGGAGCTGTAAAAAAACACAGCTATGCTCCTGCTGGCTCTTCAGTTAGGAAACTCTTTTCGCATGGTAGTAGTAGGGGCTAACCAGGGCTGCCTCCTCCGCCTCAAGTGTCCTCTGGCTATTCTGTCAGGCTGTCTCAGTGGGAGAGATGGGAAGCAGAAGGTTCATTTCATCAGCTTTGCTGGAGGCCCAGCTCCACAGGGCACCTGCCCCTGAACTCTTGTCAGCTGCTCTTTATAAGAAATGGTGCCTGAGATTCCTGCCTCCCACCCACTTCCCTATCCCTTTCATCTTTTTTAGAATGTAAGAATGCAGGGGCAGGGAATGTCTTGTTTTAACTGATGGTATTTAAGCCACTTTGGGGCTTTTTTTTTTTGGCTGAAGAACTGGTTGCAAATACTCTAAATCTGTGGTTCTCAAAGGGTGTGGCAGGAGAGGATGGCAAGTGTGATGGCAAGATTCAAGGACAATCAAAGAAACATTTAAACATTCCGGTATAGTATAGTATAGTATAGTATAGTATAGTATAGTATAGTGGTACCTTGGGTTACATACGCTTCAGGTTACATACTCCGCTAACCCAGAAATAGTACCTTGGGTTAAGAACTTTGCTTCAGGATGAGAACAGAAATCGTGCAGCGGCAGCAGCAGGAGGCCCCATTAGCTAAAGTGGTGCTTCAGGTTAAGAACAGTTTCAGGTTAAGAATTGACCTCCAGAACGAATTAAGTACTTAACCTGAGGTATAGTACAGAAATGGGGGGCGGGGAGAGAGTTACAACCAAAATCAGTATCCACGCCTCTCTTAAAGAGCCTTGGCTATTCTTCTACAGATTTCCATGACATATTGTTGTGAACAGGGATTTTCAACGCTGACAAATAAAGTGGTACCTCGGGTTAAGTACTTAATTCATTCTGGAGGTCCATTCTTAACCTGAAACTGTTCTTAACCTGAAGCACCACTTTAGCTAATGGGGCCTCCTGCTGCCTCCGCGCCGCCAGAGCACGATTTATGTTCTCATCCTGAAGCAAAGTTCTTAACCCGAGGTATTATTTCTGGGTTAGTGGAGTCTGTAACCTGAAGCGTATGTAACCTGAAGCGTATATAACCCGAGGTACCACTGTATGAAAGGTTAGAAAAAAGAAAGGCTTCTTTGTATTGATGAGGAGACAAGATTTTGTTTGGTCTTTGTCTAATATAAATGAGATTACCCGGCAAAAGCCAAGTTACACCTCACTGTGAGTTTGTATACACACTTAAGATACATATGCAAGGTGCTTATTTATATTTTGGGAATGATTTATGTTCTTATGTAGCTGCATTGTTTTATACTTCTTGTATGTTCCACAATCATATTATAAAGTAGTTGTGTTCCATGTTATAAATCAAGCACTGCTAGGAGTTGTTTCTTTTTGTTTTCCAATGCATTTCTTACCAATATAAAATTCACTGTGGTGCAAGCAAATTTTCATTCTGAAAGTGTGGCCCAGAGGCAAAAAGTTTGAGAACCACTTCTCTGAATAAATAAACAGCATTGCTTGTGCTTCTCCAGCTAAAGGGAAAGGCGGAGCACGTGTGAACATCAACACCTCTCTTGTTGAGGAGATCATTGGCTTGGATGAGGTGAATGAGAAAATGCGTTCTGTGGTCAAAACCCTGCAGGAGGATTTCAACAAAAACTTGAGCATCCGCACCTCGCTAGGTAAGTCACTTCCGCAGGTTTGCAGCACCTGCTCTGAAGCAGCAGCCCCCAGCTTCCCTGCATTGCCATCCCAACATCTCCAGAGCTCTTCTCCAGACACAATAATTGATGGCTGCCCTGCAATTCTTAACAAAAATGCTTTGCTTGCCCTGAGCTTGACCAGGAAGCATCCCTTCCTGCTAATAGCTTCCTGCAGGCAGTCATTGCAGAGTGGGAGATGTCAGAAGCATCTAAGCGAACCATTTGCAGATGTGATGACGAGGAGAATTGTCAGCTACCAGTGTGGCAGGAAAGGGGCAATTGCCACTAAATTAGCCTCTTGGAAATTGCCCTCAAGATGTGGGGAGGACCAGACTTATCTTGATGGACTGGCACCTTTGGCTTAAAACGGGGTTCTTCTGTAGTGAAGGACGGGGATCCCCTTCCTACGAACTTATATTGGTAAGCACCAATGTTTGCAGGCCGCGAGAGCAATCCTCGCCTCACTGATTTGATGGAGTTGCCGTTTCATAAGAAGAGCTTGGCTGAATTATAGAAAAAAATTAGTGACAGCAGTTGAGCGCAAGCACAAGACTTGGGCAAAGTGTGCAGTCCAGTGCACATTCACATGAGTGCAAGTCTCACTAAATCGGGGTCAGCAAAGTTTTTGTGGCTTGGGCTGGTTCACAGCCCTGTGGATGCTGCAGTGGGCTGCCTCGCAGACGCTGTGTGCACATGCACACGTGCAAAAGCTATTTCTGGCACGGAAGAGGCGTGTGCAGCTTCCCATTGGCTGCAGGAAGCTGGCCAGCATCACGGAAGGCGGTCCCTGCTCTGCTCTGCGCCGGTTTAGCGCGGTGCAAGGGAGCCGACTAAGCGGGCGGCAGGGGTCCATGGGCTGGTTAAATGACCCCCATGGGCTGCTTGTGGCCCATGGGCCTTAAGTTGCCGACCCCTGCACTAAATACAAGGAGAATTGATTCTGAGTAGACATTAGCATTGTACTATAAAATGTTGGACAAGCTGCCACAAAAATTGGCACACGTGCGCAGTCACACATCCTGCTTTGGCTGTGTTAACGTGAATCTTCTTGAACAGTAGCTCTTCCTGCTCAGTTTAATGTTTTGGTTTTTCTGTTCCAGCATTTCCATTTAAACATTTCCAGAGAACCAGTGGTGGTGCAGTGGTTAGAGTTTCAGACTAGAACCTGGGAGAGACAAGGGTTCAAATCCTCTCACTTGGCTGTGAAGTGACTTTGTGCCAGTCACTCCTTCTTGGCATAGCTTACCTCACAGTGTTGTTTTGGGGGTTAAATGAGGAGGGGAGCACCATGTAAGTCACTTTGAGGTCCTTTGGGGGAAAAGGGGGGTATATAAATGAAGTAAATAAATATACTTCATATTTATAAATATACACACCCTGTCCGTCCTTCCTTACTTAAGTTTGTCTGGCTGGAAGCATTCTGGAGCAAGAATCAAAAAAGCAGATTAACAAAGGGTCAGAAGGGAAGTGTCTGAAATTGCAATATTGAGTTGTCATTCTGTGTGGGGCCCTGCCTAAAAAGAAGTTGGGCTATTGCTAGTGAAAAGAGCTGTTGGTTGCCTGACCATTTGTCTTTATAAAAAGTGAATAACCGGTCATTCAGCAGGCGGGGCTCTATCTAGCATTAGTCGGACACAGTGTGGATCCAGTGACGTCAAACAGCATGGCTTTACTTTCGTCCATTCGTTTCAGTGGGGCTGCTCTGAAAAGACTTTAGTTGTACACATCCCTTAGATCCACTTAACATTTTAGAGTGGTTAATTGGTTAAAACGTTGGCATTCGTGTAAATTAGTTACTTAGCCGCTGGTCTCTTTTAGCAAGGTAGGGAAGAACAGTAGCCTACCTCGCATATAAAAATGGAATAAAATGAGAAGGAGCTGGTAGTCGGACATTGGAGTGTAGAAAGTAGCTAGTCAGAAAACACTGTCTCCCTCGGAACCACCCCCTCCTCAGTTCAGGGGTGGGGACCTTTTTTGGACAAGTGTTGGGCTTTGGTTGCCTTCATCACACTGTTCTGCTGTTCTGCTACTGTTGGTTTATTTATAAATATATTTGCATACTGCTCTATCGTTTGAAAATCATCAAAGCCATTTACAGCAACAAAAGCATAAAGCCATGCAGCAAAACACTGAAAAGGCCATAGAAACATTGTGTGTGTTGGCCTTTAGATAGCTTAGTCCAGGAGACCTTCAGCTTTGGAGACAGAACTGTGATAATGCCTCCTGCTTCCCTGGGTGGACTTGTGTGTATGTGTATATGTATATGTATATGTATATGTACGTGTAAGAGTACAACCCCCCTGACTTTCACATGGTGGGAATGCAGCCTGCTGTTCAAAGGGAGGAGTCAAATAATTTCCCTGCTCCCTTTTGCCTGTCTCTCCACCCACCCATTCACATCGCATAGCCCTTGCAGTGGAAAAGGTTGACCACCCCAAGGATGGAACTGCATGACGTTTGGGCTGTTTCCACGCTGTCTTTGCTTCCACCAGCACCCAGATGCTGACAGGCTTTGGCGTGAATGTCCCTCTTGTTCCAGGGGCTCTGGACCACATCACTGTTGCAACCAAGGATGGGAAGTTTCCCTTAAGCCAGCTTGGGCAGATCTCCCTGAAATCCCCGCAGCTCATCCTTGTCAACATGAGCAGCTTTCCAGAGGTACGTGGACAACCCTTGATGGTCTTCTGCATGGTTGGCTCTTGGAGTGATTAAGAACTGCATGAGCCAGAAAGGAGACTAAACTAAGGTAGCTGTGAATTCACCAGGTGACCCCAGGAGCTGAAGGGGCCAGGAACAATCCCAGCATACCCAGGTAGGACTGGGAGAGTTCCTTGCCTGAAGCCCAGAAGAGCCATTGCTGCCAGTCAGTGTAGACAGTACTGAGTTAGATGGACCCATGGCCTGATTCAGCATAAGGCAGCTTCCTATGTTCTCACCCTTAGCTGAAATGAAGGCTTAAGTATAACGGCCATCGCAGCTGATATTATTCATCTTGCCTTTCCCACACTGTTGACATTTAGAGTTGTAAGCTCCTTGTGGGCAGAGCCTTCTTTTGGTGCCATGCTTTGACAACAATGAAAAACATATGAACTGCCTTGTCAGCATTGGAGCATCTCTGTAATTTTGTAAGCTTTCCTGTTCCCTAGGGTCAGAGAACCATAGGCTTGTAGAGTTGGAAGGGACCCAAAAGTCGATCTAGTCCAGCCCCTGCAGTGCAGGAGTCAAGGCCCCCATCCTCCATGACCCTAAAGCATGCTGTGGATTCAGCAGGGACCCTATTTCTTCCCATCACCCCTTCTTTTGTCCTTTTATCTGTTTTTCCTCCAAGAGTGTGTAATGCTGGCAGGGGCTGGTGCGAGTTGTACTGTAGTCCAAAGACTCGCTGGAAAAGACTGGAGGAGAGGGCTTCATGGAGCCACGATTTGACCGTGCATAAGGCAGCTTCATTTGTCTAGGTGGTTACTGCAAAAACTGGAGCCATATGGGGTGAACAGGATTTCCAGTGACCAGGTTTGACTTCAGTGCTTTTCCCTTGACTAATGAAACCAGAATAAATTATGCAGGCAGGAGAGGTGGGTTGCTTTTTTTAAAGAGAATGAACAAACTGAAAACCCATGTCTGAGAGAGTAGAACAGACAAAAAAATCCCACTGCTTTTCAGTCAACCTGGCATCATTTTATTACATTTGCAACATCAATAGAACAGTCACAGGCTTTTGGCAACTTGTGGAATTATACCTTTGTTTAAAAACTGAAATGGCTCAGAAGTTCAAGGTAATTAAATAGACTATTGGTGCTTCTGGTGGTGGGTAGGGTTGGGCAGTATATCAATATAGCATCCAAAACCTGTTTGAAGTCCATATTGTTAAATTGGTTTCATAATTTTTGACCTGGCAATATATTGCAAATCGTGTGTGTGTGTTTGCTATGCAAAAATCCCGTACAAGAAAAACCATGAAACCAGCCACTGCCTCTGCATAGATCATGATGTCTGAAATAAGAATGGAGCTATCAGTATATCATGATGTTTAGCTAGTGATATATCACAATGTTGAAAACCAGCTTTCACCCAGCCCTGGTGGTGGATTTCTGTTCGTTATTGACTGTTGCTTGTAAAAATAAATGAAAACAAATAAAAGTTGTAGAATTCTGCAGGGTGTAGAATACAGATTTTGAAGTTCAGCATGTAGACTGCCTGGGCACAGCACAGTGTGTGTGCATCTATTTAAAAAATAGCCCCCCGAAAGGCCAAAGCCGCCCCCTCCACATTGCCTGTCAAAAGGGCTGTGTGCCTTGTCTCATCCCTGCCTGCCTCCCAGCTCTGGCTGCTGATGGGGCTGGCAGCTTTCAGATCCTGCCTGAAAATCCACAGCTGTGAAAAACAGGCCTTGTGCTAATCCCTGTTATTTTCACACTTGCCTATGGTTGCAATGTGGAACGAGTTAAAATGATTTAACTCTTGCCTCTAAGCTCCTGCTGCATGAGATCTTTGGCACGCAGAGTCAGACCCTGGAATCTTTCATCTGCTTTTGGCCTATGTCTTGCAAAGTCCAGAGTCTCCTTCCACCAGCATCCCCTTGGGAATTCACCTTAAAAAAAAAAATCTGTATTGCCTCAAACCATCAAAATGGTTTTGGTTTTCCACTTTTGGTTTTCTTCCTCCCTTCCTTAGCTGCTGACCCCCCCCTTTGCCCTCCCCCCACAGCCACTTCACTGATACCTCAATACTGGGGATGAGGGAGGGGCTGCAGTTTGCAATCCAGTTTTGATCAAAGGGGCTTGCGCTGTTGTAACTTCCTGGTTTTGCTGGTAAGCGAACTAAATGTTTCCATGTTCTGTCAAGATGGATTGCTTCCATTGATGGAGAGCTCCGGCATTTGGTAATAATTATTTGCTAATTCCCTCCGCCTTTTTTATCTCAGGGTGGTTTTTTCGTTGTTGTTTTTTTTGCAGAGCGCAGCTGCAGCTATCAAGGCGATCCGAGAGAGCGGAATGAACCTGAACCCAGAAGCAGATGGCCTGATCATTCGCGTGCCTGTTCCTATGTAAGCAACCACAGCAGCCGTCTCTCTTGATTTGGCAACCCCAGTGGGGGAACGCGATAGCGCTGGCTGGCGTTCCTGGGCAACCCTAGCTTTGCACCCTGGATTTCTTTTATGGAGTTGAGGGGATTAGCTGAAGGAGTGTTTTCTATCATGTAAACCTCCCTCTTTGCTGAGGTTCTCTGGGTTCCTCACACTACCACTTGCAGCCCAAGCGACTGCAGAGAGGCCTTTCTCAGCAGCGGCACCCAGACAGGGAGATTGCTGCCAGCTCCAGATTTCAGCATGCCTTTGGGCAAGGTGGTCTCTGTGAATCCCCTTCCTCAAGGGAGTCTGCCTCTTACTTTGTTGTCCAGGACACATTGTGGTCCTTTCCCAGTTCCTTGTACAGCTGGCGCCCACCGAGTTGGCTTCGCTTCTGAACTGACCAATGACAGCAGTGATGAGGTTTGAAAATGTATGATGGAGAGATGCTTTTCCTCCCCACCCACTCCATCACCTTGTTTCACCAAAAGTAAAGGTAAAGGGACCCCTGACCATTAGGTCCAGTCGTGGCCGACTCTGGGGTTGCAGCGCTCATCTCGCTTTATTGGCTGAGGGAGCTGGCGTGCAGCTTCCGGGTCATGTGGCCAGCATGACTAAGCTGCTTCTGGCGAACCAGAGCAGCGCACAGAAACGCCGTTTACCTTCCCGCCGGAGAGGTACCTATTTATCTACTTGCACTTTGATGTGCTTTCGAACTGCTAGGTGGGCAGGAGCAGGGACAGAGCAACGGGAGCTCACCCCATCGCAGGGATTCGAACCACCGACCTTCTGATCGGCAGGTCCTAGGCTCTGTGGTTTAACCCACAGTGCCACCCATGTCCCATAAGTTTCACCAAAAACTTGCCCATAAAAGCTGGTTGTTTATGTATTTATTTGGTTTCTATACCACCACTCCTTCCAAATTGGAGCCCTGGGCTGCATACAACATAACTAGAGCAGCGTCAAAGAATGGCGATTGGCAGTAGCTTCCAGACTGAAAAGAAAACTGCCCTCTGAAACACACTTAATAATTCCAGCATCATCAATGTAATTTAACTTAGGTTCTGTTCAATAGCATAGCACAATGAACAGTGCAATGGGTGCTATTTACAGACGAAATCTTACAGAGTCCAAAAAGCAGTCTTTTTAAAGGATTAGATTTGATTCATGGGCAATAGATTAGTGGGTGATAGACAGTAACTAAGGACCTAAGAATAGCCCTGCTGGATCAGACCGAAGGGGCCCCACCTAGCCCAGCCTCCTGTTCTCACAGTTCTCCAGCCATGGAGTCTTATCCTCCATTAATTTGTGTAATTCTCATTTAAAGTCATCTAGGTCGGTGGCCATAGGAGGGAGTTTCATAGTTTGAACTACGTGCTGCGTGAAGAAGTGACTTAGTGGAACTTATGTTTGCAGAACAGTCTACCTTAAAAATAAGAATCTATGGGCAAATAGCAAAGGAGAGCCATGCTGGAGCTGTCCACTTTGGAAACTGACTGCTGGGCAAGAGGGGTCTTGGCTCTGGTCCAAATTTCAGTCTCCAAATTTCCCATGGATAGTATCAAGAGGGTAGTCTTTGATGGCCTTGGAGAAGGTGACCAGACAGGATAATGTTGGGTATTAGATTAAGCATATCATACAGTGTTAGTCCTACTCTGCGTAGAACCATTGTACTTGATGACCGTGGCTAACTTGAGTACATTAATCTTATTAATTTCTTCAATAACCATGCCATTGTGATGTAACATCAGCGACACTTCGTTTGATCAAACTTACCTTTGTTGATATCTACAGGAGTCTGGCTAAAGGAACTTTAAAGACCGAATCTTGCTTTTGGACACAATTTGAATGAGTTTTCTGTTTGTGGCTTCTGTAGTAGATCTTGTACCTTGTTCTCTTAATTTTTGGATTATTAATATAAGATTTAGAACGAAGAATGGTTTGGTAGTGTTTTGTGCGCCGCTTATGTCCTGCTTACTTCATACTGGTCTACATTGTGATGTTTCAAGCAACTTTACTTGGCCCCGGGGGACTCACAAAAGTGGAGCCCCCAGCCCTACAGATTACACAGGCTTACATAGGGGGATCCCCTCCCCTTAGCTTTATACATGCGTAGAAATTATGTCCCTTTCTCAGGGCAGACGCATGCCTGCGTCATCAGAGCTGGATGCCGGATTTGGTGAGAAGAACAGGTCAGCTCAGGGCTGAGTTTTTCCCTGCACAGGAGTAATTGACACATTCTTCATGCGGTCTGAGTAAGCAGAGTCGCCTATCTTAACAATACCCTTTCACACCCTCTTTTACATCTCTTAGGCTGTCTATCAATGCATATAGTATAATTCCCACTACAAGGGTGACTCTTGAGTAGAACTTAGCAGGGATGCAGCCCAAAGTCCCCAAAGAACCCTTAATAAAAGCAACCTCCCCACTCGCCTTGGATCTTCCATTTCCCTGCACGTGGTAGGAAATCCAGCTTTTGGGTTCTGGCTCCGCAGCAAAGGCCTTCAGGAAAGCTCACCGTAGCAGTTTCACAGACATGTAGCCAAGGGCTGAGGGACCTGAGCTCCCAGCTATTCTCAGCACCAGCCAGCATGGCCTGAGGTTGGGGGTAAGGACAGCTGGAGCCCCCATCAGCTTCTCTGCCCACACCCCGGGTGGAGGCAACATCAGGAGAGATCATCCTGAAATTAGCGCAGCCAAGCACTCATGGCAGAGTGTGGCTGAGCACCAGCATTTTTTGCTTTGGCCGATAAGATCCTGCTCTGGTTTCTGCAGCTCCTCCTGCTCTCTTCTTCCTTTCTCTTCTCCCTGCCCGGTTCTCCCCTCCCCTCAACTCCCCCCCCCCCCCCATGCAATCCTGAAGGAGGCTGCTATTATCCTCCTAATTGCTGAGGATTTCGACTGGGTGCACAGCAGCCTGATTATTAACACACTCCCAGATCATCCCCTGGTTTGAATTACACAGGAGGAGGGAAGAGACCCAGGAGGAGCGGAAAGGAAGGAAGGCAGGTTCCAATGTTACTCTCACATCTCCTCCTTTGTCGCAAGGCCACGCTTCTCCCTCTGTTGCCCCATTTCCTGTCCCCAACTGCAGGGTGTAACCAGGGCTTTTTTCCCTAGAACTTGCTGAGCACCCACCCAAAGTCATTGAAAGAAATTGATATCTTGTGGCACACATACTGTGGAACTCCCTGCCTATTGAAACCAGGCAGGTGCCTTTGCTCCTTTCAGTGCCTGCCTGCCCAGACATGTAGAATGCTGTCATATGTTTTAAGTTTTTAGTTCAATGTTGGTTTCAACTTTTGAAAGTTTTAAAGAATTTTTACTGAGAATTTTATTGTTTTATTTTCCCTGTAAGCTGCTCTGGGTTTGTTTGTTTTTTGTTTTTAAAACAAACTTGTGATGTATACATTTTATGCTTTAAATGAATAAAATAAAGCAGCCAGTGCCCTCCATGTGTTTGGGGCTACAGCTTCCATCAGCCCCAGCAAGTGCAGGGAAGCATAGAAATTGCCTGGAACATCTGGAGGGTCTCAGCTTCGCGAAACCTGCCATGTGAGGAACCTTGCTCTTCCTCACCTGTTGTTCTTGTCTCCACCTCTCCCATAAAACTCCCATATCTCCTAAGCATGATTTTCCCTATCACTCAAGGCTTTCTCCCCCACCCCGTTTTCAGGGCCAACCAGATTTGCATCTGCGTAAACATTCAGAAACCTTTCTAATCCCCTGCTCCAGTTGCCTTGTAGCAATTCGCCCACACATTTATTGAGAGTGGTTTTCCTGACATTTCCTTTTTGTATTACACTTAATCTTATCGTTGCAATTTATTAATTGCCTTCTAAACCACCATCCCACAGCAGATTACACGTAAGGTACTTGAAAGGATTTAAAACACAGAACCAACAAATACATTCAAAACAAGGCAAAAACCCTAGATGTAAGAGGACAACTCATGGTAAAGACCCATCGATCCAGCTGAGGATTTGAAAGTGCACATAGCAGGTGCCTGTTGCATCGCGACAGGTACGCGATTCCACAAGGCAGGGGCAGCCACACTAAAAGCCCTGCTCCAAGTTACTGCAGAGTTGGCTGCTGAGGTCTTTGGAACTTGAAGGAGACTGCAGTGATGTCCTAGGTCCATAAGGGGTAAGCAGTCTCTCAGATAACCTGGTCCTGAGCTGTATAGGAACTTATATGTTTAGTACCAACACCTTGAACTTGGCCTAGTAGCAAATTGTCAGCCAGTACAAATCCTGCAAGCAAGGACTGCGATGCCTCGAGCACCGCCTTACCCCATATGGACCAACTTGGACCCTGTGATTATCACCTGAGGTCCTTTGTGTGCCTCCTGCATGGGAATTTCTGGAGGGTGGCAACACAAGAACAGGCCTTTTCTGTGGTGGCTCCCTGCTTGTGGGATGTTACATATTTTGGGGCCATGCAGAAACATTCCTCTTCTCCCAGGCTTTTGGTTAGTTAAACAATCTATGGCCTTTAAAACTGTGGGTGGGGAGGTGTTATAGTTTCTGTTTGTTACTATGTCAATGTGTTCTTGTATTGCAAACCATCCTGTGATCCTCAAGATGAAGGGTGGTATGGAAATTTAATAAACAGATAAATGAAATGAGAATTGCCCCCACAATCCACCGAGCCGCCATGTTCTGTACCAGATGCAGCCTCCGGGAAAGCCCCGAGGATAGCTGCACATGGAATACATCGCAGAAATCCAGTGGTGAGGTTGTGAGTGCATGAGCAGCTGAGGTCAAAGACACCCTTTGCTTACTGTTTGACTAGGGTCACCCGTGAGCACAGAGAGAACCTGGTTACTGTGGGAAAGCAGCTGACAAACAGAGCGAAGGAGTCCCTGCGGAGAGTTCGCGCCGAGGCCATCAGCCAGACCAGGAAGGCCAAAAGCTCCACGTCAGAGGATACCATCCGGTTGATAGAGAAACAGGTACTAGTTGGTTGATGGGCCATTTTCTAATACAGTAGTACCTTGGGTTACAGATGCTGCAGGTTACAGACACTTCAGGTTTCAGACGCTCCAGGTTACAGACGCTTCAGGTTACAGACTCCACTAACCCAGAAATAGTACCTCGGGTTAAGAACTTTACCTCAGGATGAGAACAGAAATCGTGCGGTGGCGGCACGGCAGCAGCAGGAGGCCCCATTAGCTAAAGTGGTACCTCAGGTTAAGAACAGTTTCAGGTTAAGAACGGACCTCCAGAATGAATTAAGTTCTTAACCCGAGGTACCGCTGTACTATATTATTATTATTATTATTATTATTATTATTATTATTATTATTATTATTATTTGCTATTATATTTAACCCTGGAACGCATCCAGACCTGCTCCCACATCAAAAGCCATCCTGTCAGGGAGAACTCAGGGGTGAGAGTTCTGCTTCTGTGCTTGAATCCTGCTTGCTTGTTCCTCACTGTGAGAACCTCTCCTCTATGAATTTGTCTAACCCTCCAAGCCATCCAACTTGGTGGCCCATCACTGCTCCTGTGGGAGTGAGTTCCATAGTTTTAACTGTGTGCGACATTAAAAAAAAAACCACTTAGGTGAAATCTACACATATATAAAAACGCTGTGAAAATGCTTTAAAAAAAAAAAAGTTTTGAAAACTATATTGAATTTGCCATAGCTCACTGTCGCCATCTAGTGTCCCTTTTGTGTGTTGCACTTTACAACACAGTCAAAATGTTTTATTTGCAGCTGTATAGCTGAGTCCTTACTTACTGAACTTGCAAACATTCAGCTTCCTTGGACGTCCGTAATGTTTTTATTTTTTAAAAAAAGTTGCCTGCATTCACAAACTTTTCTCCCCCTTGTGCTCTCAACCTGCTGCAGATCCAGCAAATGGCAGAGGACACAGTAGCCGAAATGGAGAAGCTGTTGGCAGCAAAGACAAAAGAGCTGCTTGGTTAGCCTGCTTACGGGAGATTTCAAGCCATCTGTCACCAGGAGGAGTTTTCTACCCATCACTGGACTCTCACGGCCTCCTGTGTGGCTGTAGCATTTTGGCTCCAATCATGTGCGAGGCTCTTTCGATCGGGTCGACGATCATCCCTCTCGCCCTCCCTAAGACTTTGGCATTGGCCAGAAAAATTGTGTTGGCAACTTCAAGGGCAGCTGGGGCTGATGAAATTAATACAGACAAGGTTGCAGCCCCACTAAAACCTTGTTGACGTAACCACGTAGAGTGGTGGTTCTTGGCAAGAGAGAGAGAGCGTGCCTCATCAAAGAGGATTTTTTTTTCCCTAGGAGCAATCACATTTTGGATTGTCGTTGACCGCCTTGGCCATTTTCACTCGCTTGTAAACTTTGTCAGAGTGGGAGGAGGCAGCAGAGGCCAGGCGTCTTCACGAACTCACAGGGAATCTTGTACATTAAATAAAGCACCCCAGGAGGTATGAAGTATCTCCATGTGATCTGATGATTCTTCCCCTGCCCTTTGTCCTTGCTGGGGTTAGAATGCAGGAAAGGTTACATGCAGACTTCCATAGCAGTTCGGGGCAGGGCAGCCTGAACTGCTGGGCTGGGTCCCGTGGTTCCTGGTGGCAGTTCCCATACTGCCTCAGTTTCCTAGATGGGAAACCTGGTGCAGTTTCCACACCCCACCCTTATGGTAGAGCACGAGGCTGCGTGAGTAACTTGACTTGGGTAGGCTGCTAGTTTCAGTTTCTTGAACGCCTAGCCCTCATGGCTGCAAAGTTAGTCCTATGTTGGCAACGCTTGCGGGTGTCTCTGAAGGCAAGTTGAGGTGCCTGAATGAGATTGCTCATTGCAGGGTGCAAGGCTCCTCCCCAAGTGCAGCAGCGTTGAAATGAAAACGCAGAATTATTAAAATCCCATGAATATGCTTAATGTGGGCTGTAGGGAAACGTGTGGGGGTAGGGTAGGAGGGGAGAGGAGGATGGTCACATCCAGCCCCCCAAACCACAGATCTTTAAAGAGTGTGCCTTTTTGTTGCAAAGGGGGCATTAGGGTTGTAGGAAGCTATTATATCGTGAGTTGGAATGCTGCTTCATCTAGCTCAGTACTGCTTACACTGACTGGTAGTCACTCCTCAGGGTTTCAGGATGGAAGAAAGGGCTCATTTGATAAATGTAAGGCTAGCTCAAAAGGCCTGAGCTGAAAGAAATTTGCTGAGCCAAGTAAGCACTGTGGGGCATTCATTGCCTCCTTGATCCATTTATCAAAAGAGGAGGCGCTTCTGGCAGGCGGCAGCAGACGTTTGAACGGATTGCAAATGTGTCTACTCAAAGTAGACCCACTGAAATTGACAGTCATGATGGATGGATAGGCCCATTAATTTTAATGGATCCTTCTTCTTTGGCGATCACTCGTAGCCTAGTAAGATTGTCTTCCATAAACACGGTTTTAACAGTCAGTCCGTAAGTGACTGTGGAGGCTAATTCTGGATCCACACGTCCTTCCACAGTGGGGACATTGGTTTCCGGGCAGGAGCTGATCACAGTGTGGATTTGCCAAGCGTGCCTTCCTCTTAGCACGTTTCTCCCTTGCGTCCTGAGTTCGAGTGTCTTCAAAGCCCATGACACCTTTGGTAAAGGCTGTTCTCCAACTGGAGCGCTCGCAGTAGAGCTTAGTTAGCTACTACCTGATATTTCTAAGCACTTTTTGAGGCTTGTATAAAGTGGGGAGGGGGCCATCCTGCCTGGAGGTTTCTATGGCACAGGTGAGGGTCCCGCTTAGTCTGGAGGAGATGCACCTGGAGCATCAGCCAAAACTGATAAAAGGCTCACAGTTGCTGCCTTGACCTGAGCCTCCCAAAGCCCCACAGGATCAAGGCACCCCCACGAAGCTAAAATCCTAATCCTGCAAGGGAGCCTGCACCCAAAACCCAAGGCCTCCAAGCCTCCCTGCAGCAGTTTCTGGTGTCCTCTGCTAAGCCAGGTCGATCATCAGTGTTTAAAATTCCCATGGTGGAGAAACCCACCAGTGTCCCTAGGAACACATGACGCTGCTTTACGCAGAGTGAGACCCACGGGGCCTCAGTTAAGAGGCAAGGGGGCGACAGGCAGTGGGGCCACTGGAGGTGCAAACGAACATCAGACTCTCATCCATTTTGCTGAACTGATTGAACCAAATAGTTTTGGTTGGATATTGAATGAATGTCTAATTAATTGCTACTGTTTTGAATTTCATTGTGCTATCTTCCTTGGAGGGTTGTTTGATTTTTTTTTATAAGGTGGGAGAGTCTTTTAGGCAGGGGGGGTCTTTGCAGCCCTCCCCGCAGTTGCTGCCCTTGGGGGACTGAACTTTGCTCCATGTCTGCATGCAAAGCAGATGCTTTGCCCCTGAGCTGTGACTCTTCCCTGTATCCATGAGTGCTTGGGCCCGGCTGCCGGCCTTGGGTTCAAGCGATGCCTTTGCAAAGCACCCTCTGGTCCCAGTAGAGAGAAAGTGAGTGTGTGAAAAGCAAGAGAGAAGTCGTGCAGGGGTGGCGGGGAGAGAACGGAGCAGCGCGAGGGTCTGAGCCAGAGTCGAGCCCCTCCAGTATCAAAACCCAACGCTGTACTTCAAAGGAGAGGTGATTGCTCTCCTTGTGAGCCACTGGCGGCAGAGAGAGACGGTGCAATTGCGATTGCTTTTGTGTAAAGGAGGGCTGAATCCTCTCTCTGATTGTCGGCTTTCTGGATTTGTGTCAAACAAGGCTGGTGGTGTGTCAGAGTTTAGGAGGCGCATACATCTTTCAACAGTGCGCCTTGCCTGCCGGCAGTGCGGGCAGGGGGGCGGGGGGGGGGGGGAGATGAGGGAGATGCGCCCCCATAATCGCCTGCCTTCTATATTCAGTGTTGATTAGACGCGCTTTCGGCCTGGATTGTCGGGAGGCTCAAGTGGGTTTTTTTTAATCACTACAGAAGCTCATTACAGCTTCCCAGTGACTCTTATGTCCTCCAGTTCTCCTTTCAGATTAGAGCCCATCGTCGGATGAATATTGGATGATTTCATTACATACAAATGCAATCAACAGTTTTGCATAAAATTTCTCCTCTTTTTCTCGAGTTTCAATTGACCCCGGCACCCGTGGCGGTAGGCGCAATACACATGCAAATGAGCCTGCGCTGCCGTGTGATATATATATATATATATATATATATATATATATATATGGAGGGGGGAGTAAGGAAAGGGGACACTCAGAAGCAAAATAAAAACCTCTGGAAAATCTTTGGGCATTGAGTGAGGAGCCAAAGGCTTCCAGCTTCTCCCCCTCCAAAAGAACACGTTTTGCCTGGGAATATACAGCTTGGCTCGCTCTTCTGAGTTAGCTAGGGCTGTTTGTGCACTGACACATCTCTTGCTTATTTGTTTATGGCCTTTAGACCTCCCCTTTATTTTTCCAAGGACCTCAATAGTTCTCAGCGCTGCCTTTGAAATCCCGGTAACGTCCAGGAAATCTGGACATAGGGCAGCCCTATTCTGCATAGTAATGCCTCCCACTTTCCTTCCTTTATTGCTATTTTTGTTGTTCACATATGCATTTTTAATATTTCATACACAGGAAGCTGTCTTATACAAAGTCAGACGGTTGGTCTGTTCTCTAGCATTTCAGGCAGGGTTCTTCCCAGGACTTTTTTTCAGTAGCAGCTCAAGGGAATACAGTACTGGCAGTACCTGTTGTTGTTGTTGTTGTTGGTGGTGGTGGTGGTGGTGGTGGTGGTGAGTACCAGCATTTATTTTTCTAGGCGGGGAAAGCACTGGTTCTGCCAACCTGGAGATGCTAAGTTGGGGTGGATTTGACCTTTCCGAGGGCTCCATGCAAGGCAGGTGCTCTACCACTGAGCCTCAGGCTTCCCCCTTAGGCATTTTGTAAAGGGCAAAGTGGGCGCAAAAAAGCTATTTTAATAATTTGTCAGTGTGCAGCCCCAAGTGCTCAGGCTAGAAGTCCTGGGGGCCCAGTAGGGACTTGCTTTCTTCCCCATCTTGTTTCTGTTTGTTGAATCTGGGAGATAAGTGGTTAGTGCAAGACCAGCACTTGTGTGTGTGTGTGTGCGCGCGCGCTTGTTTGTTTGTTTGTTTGTTTGTTTGTTTATCGTATTCTTGCAATTTCTCTCCCACCTCCAAGGAGGCTAAAGTGGAGTACATGGTTCTTTCAATGACCAGCATTTCCTACATGTGGAATCGCTTGACCTCTTCTTGACCCTCAGAGGTCAAAAATAAAATTACAGTTCTGAGATAGGTTCGGCTGAGAGGCTGTGGCTGTTCGATGGACAGCCTTCCAGGCTGGACTTCTTTAAAAAGGTAAAGGGACCCCTGACCATTAGGTCCAGTCGTGACCGACTCTGGGGTTGCAGCGCTCATCTCGCTTTATTGGCCAAGGAAGCCGGCGTACAGCTTCCGGGTCATGTGGCCAGCATGACTAAGCCGCTTCTGGTGAACTAGAGCAGCACACAGAAACGCCGTTTACCTTCCCGCTAGAGCGGTACCTATTTATCTACTTGCACTTTGACGTGCTTTTGAACTGCTAGGTTGGCAGGAGCAGGGACCGAGCAACGGGAGCTCACCCCGTCGCAGGGATTCGAACCACCGACATTCTGATCGGCAAGTCCTAGACTCTGTGGTTTAACCCACAGCGCCACCCGTGTCCCTTCTGGACTTCTTTAAACACCCACTAATTCAGTGGTTCCCAAACTTTTGTTTGTTTGTTCCATAGGCTTATCCCCTGTGCCCCAGAAGCCTATGAAAAGCATTATTCAGAGTAGCTTTCTGCAGGAGCCACTAAGGAAGATAATAACACAATAAAATTCAAAACACTAACCATTAATTGCCACATTTATTCAGAGTCTAGTTGAAACTATTTAGTTCAATTAATTCAACAAAGCTGATGAACTTGATACACAGGGATACCAGCTTTTCAAAGTTTGGCAGCTCTTTCCACCTGCTGCCCCCTTGCCTATTAGTGCCCCCACCCTGGTAATCCCAATGCCATGAGCTATGGACCTTCAGCTGGCTGAAATCCAACTTTTAGCTTTTAGCAACAAACAGACCATCCAGCCAAGAAAAGGTTCCAGTCAAGCTGCTAGCATGAAATTGGAACCCCATCAAAAGAAAGAAAGAAGTACCTAGCCTCTGCTTGATCCTATGTACTCATTAGTCAAACGGGGAGGCCTCATTTTCATCTAATTTGCTTGTCAGGGCAAGGAGGGGGTCATCCATTACCCTGGCGCCCCAGCAGATGACGTCACCACTTCCACTCTGGGAAAGGAGAGAGAATGTCCCAGAGTTGCACTTCCTTGCTTTCCCCTTTTGGTACCACTCATTCTGGAATAAAGGTGAAAATGATTTGAGATTTCAGCAAGGGCTAGAACCTCCAGGCCCTTTTCACAGACACAACGGAACCATCGTTTTCAAGACATCCCTCGTCACAATCCTGCCAAATCTGGAATTAGACTTGGCAATCAGATCCCA